TGGATGGTGTTAAAAATACATTATACTGAACAAGAAGCACAGCATTAATTTAAACGCTTCAACAGAAGAAAAATCCTTTCGAATAAAGACGGAAGCCCTAATGATGGATACCGTATTTCTAATAGGTGACATATTAGATACTCAGTGTATTATTTCACTTATTGTATTACTGCCCTGCAAAAATGTAATACTGTAAAAATGTGTAACACACCTACATTGTTTCTAAGAGCTCTGTAACAAAGAAACTCATCAGGTTGTTTTGTCTGGCGTTCATTTCATGTACAGTGTCTGCTTGGTTGTTGACTGAAGTTTGGAGGAGAACTGGGAATGAGCGCTTGAGCAGCTTTGTCTTTCACACTTGTTTTTTCTGAAATTATCGTTTCCAGTTAAGGAAAACAGTGGAGTTTAACTAAGGACAGATTTCTGCCCTTTCTGCATTGCTGCTCTTTGCCCTGTTGCTACACCAATATAAATTAAGAAGTGTGTTCTAATGCAACACTTGTGCACAAGGTTATATGATAACCTTAAAACTGCACTGTTTTACACAATAAAATAATTGCCAATACAATTTATAGCATCATATTTTTGTGCATGCACAGTTAAGGATTTCGAAATGACATACATTCTAACTTTGTGTAAATGAATGCTGCAGAATGATGTGCTAATCTCGTTTCTTCTTGGCTGTAAAGATTGATGTACAGTAACATCTGGCTGGCAGCTCGTGTTTGAGCTTGCTTCTTCTAGAACCTTCAGACAAATTGCAGCTGTGTAAGACACGTGTTAGGACACATTAGGGAAACAGAGTCTTGTTCAGAAAAACACACAAAAATAAAATTAAAACTTGGGTGGAAACAAATCCATATTTCACAGATTCTGCTTAACTGTCAGGAATACTTAATTTGTCATCCGGAGTTTATCAATTTACACCTTTTTTATTATTGCAACAAAAATGCATAGAACAAAACAATGTTTATATTTATTTATACCTTACTTTACAAGCTTGATACAGAATTGCTTTAATGAAACAACTGGTACTTGTGTTACTATATATATCTCTCTAATTATTAAAGTGTATTAAACTGTCCTATTCAAATCTTTGGACTTGCAGAGAGATCAATTCAAAGCCAATTAATTATAGTTGTACAGTAGTTGTAGAATTGCACATAGCAGTCAATGTGGGCTGTGTATACGTATACAGTATACTGTACAAAGACTGATGTCCAGTACAATATATGTATTAAAAAACTTCTGATATGCCCTGAAAGCAGATGGAGAGCCATTATTGCTGCCTAAATCTTCAATCTTCATGCTCCTCACCCAATACTCCATTAAGGCTGGCTAATTTTGAAAACGCTAGCGACAGAGGTACTTCAGCGGAAAGGGGACTCTGACAAGTGTCGCCCCCATTTAAATCAAGCTTTCAGATCTTGTTTAAGTGAGCAGAGGCCTTAGCAGGAGGACTGCTTCTTTCTCGCCTGCGCTCCCTGGCTGATCTTCAAAGGCTGGAGCGTGCCACGACTTGTGCTGGGAGTCCAGACAGGCGGCCCAGGCAGGCGAGCACATGGCAGCGCCCAGATCCCTGCCCTCCTGATCGTGTCTGAGTGTTCACAGTGCAAATCGCCAAAACTGCACTTAAACCTTCAGCGCCTCACAAACAGATTTTCCCCCGTGCCAGAAGCCTTCCACATGGCTCTTTGCATTCCACATTTTTTAAGAAAAGGTTCACTTTGATTTTATTTTCTTTTTTTTTTCAAAAAACAAAGGCAGGACATTGTTGCAGGGCAACAATCCTTTCCGGCAATGAGAACTGAATGAAGAAACTGGTTTATAAAATAGATGGGGGAAATGTTACTCGTCAGAAAAGGGTTTTAGATTGTCCGAGAGAGGGCTATGGGAGACGTAAAAACCGCAGCTAGGAAACTGAGAAGTCAGCTTCTACTCATTCAGTAGCTGCTAACAAAATCACTAGTACACCTACAATACAAAACTGCACGCTCGTCTATTAAAATTGCTGGGACTTAGTACAGATAGATGCCAGATTCTCTCACTCTCAGTCCTTTGGTTCTTTTCGTGTATGAAATCCACCGATTCAAGTGATTACAAGCATGTCACTGTTCAGAATTGTCCCCACCTCTTGACGGAATCACATTTTTGTTTAAGGTTTCCAAATAGGAAAAAAGGGGTTTATGTGATTTTACTGCTTTGTTGGACCCTGCAAATTCTTACAAGGTGCAAAGACCTTTGAGCTCCATGCTTTTGAGCTCCATTTCTAAAACACATTTCATGGGTATTTACTGCATTGCATTAGAAAAAAATGCTGTAGTAAGTGTTCCCATTAACTATCCATCCATATCAAAGTGTCCCCATTACCAAGTCCCTATTGTCTAGGCTGAAATGGCTCTGGTTCTGCAGAAAGTGTTTTCCTTTAAGCAGACATACCATTTAAGAGAGTTCCATTGTTGTGTCTTGGCTCCATTAGCCCTTCTGCAGTTTAGCACATCAAAGCAAGGACCCCATCGCTTGCATGTGGATTATGCTAACACGAATGACATTTGTAATCTTATAGGTTTGAAACTAAAGACGTGCTTTTAGAGCTTTCTGCTAAATAAGTGGAGATTAATAGAATGTGTTACAATAGTTCATTAGGATCGTATTCACAGAAAGATGAAATCTAGTTAAACTAAGTGAGAGAAAAAGGTTTGATATGTTCTAGAAGAAGAGGAAGGGAGTGAACAAACAATAAATAGATGCATCTGCAAAGTCTAAAACCTTTAAAATAAGGAAGAGAGACACCTTTTTATGTTTTAAACTGTCCGGCAAATCAGAAAAATAAAATACAATTGGCTCATGTCAGCTAGTTTGGTTATGATACACCTACTGCCAGGTATTCCTGTGTGTGCAGTGGAAAGCCAAGTCGCTCACCAGTGTGAAGATGGGCAGCCGGTCCCAGAGGAACAGTCTGTAAGTCCGGTCACCAGCAGTGAGCTGGGTTTTGCTGGACTACACTGCACAGGATTGCTGCGGGACAGTCTTCATTCCTGAAGGGAGAGTCCAGTAAATTGCTCTATGCATTGCACTGCAGACAAAGGCAGAGTCTTGGAGAGCAGCAGTCCTTTCCAGCAGCAGTAAGAGATGTATTAGCCTACTGGTTTATAAAAGAGGTGGAGGAAACATAACTAATCTAACTTCTAGTCACTGTTCGGAGGTCAGTAACTGCTAACAGAATCACTAGTGCACTTGAGCTTTCAGCTTGACAAAAAAAAACACAGCCATTGCACAACTGGGTAAATAGTAAACATTAGATGTACCATTTAAGATACTCCAGGGATAATGCATTGCAAGTACTGGATGAGCTCCAGCTGTAATCCAGTAAGAGTCTGCTTTTTGAAGTAAAAGGGAGCACTGCCACGCCTGTGTGGCCACAGCACTTCGCACAAAGCCTGTGCCAGAGACAAAGGTGAGGAAAGGAGCACGATGCTCTGACAGTTCACCAGCCTGTGTGCACTTCCTTTGTCTCTGTATGTCTTGTGTTTCAGACGTGGAAAATACTCTAAACCATCCTGGGCTGTGCTCAATGTCAAGGACTCTCACTTCATACACTTTGATCCTTAAAGGACACGTTACTAAACTTTTCATAGCTGCACGATTGCTTCATGAAGTTTAATGCTCCAGCTGGTTTCAAACCACAGTAACTACAGTAAACACTTTTAGCAGCAGTTAGCAAGTGTCAAAATTGCCCCGACTGTGGAAGAGTTACAGAAGGAAACAAGTCCTCCCCTGCCAGCACACTCCCAGTGAGAGGTCCCCCTGCATCCTCCATCACAGCCTTGCTCCTCAGACCAGAACCCACGAGCGACAGCAACCTGCGACGTCTCGAGCAGACTCAGGAGCCTCTGCAGACCCTACAGCCACAGTGGCAGGAATCATTGTGGAATCCAGGGGCAGCCGGAGCCGAAAAAGGGAGCCTGCAAAAAGCAGTGGCAACGCGGCACATTTGTAATGAAGAAGGAAGCGTTTTAAATGCTTAGTTAGGTCACCCTTTCTCAGTAATACAGCTGATCTGCAATTTCAGCGTGCAGCCAAGTTAAAACATTTCCTTGGGTCCGATTAAGTTCACCTGTTACCAGTTAACGCAGGTGTAAATGTGATCAGTTATAGATGTAGAACACTGTTAAATTAATATTCAATGTCTCAGGTCCCAGCTGAAAACACCCATGTAATGTATCACAGGAACAGAACATTGTTGCTGTGCTTCCCAAGCTGGTTCGAACATGAAAGCAATGCCTCAGTGCCTCATTAGACCTGCTCTGTATTCTCATGCTAATTTGTTTTTATAAAAAAATACTTCATTTATTTACCTACCATGATGACAGCCATGTCCCCTATTTCTCTGGTAATTAAATCTTCAAAGGGTATTTTTGTCTCCATTTGTGTTTGCTTATTGGGCAGATGAATAGCATGTGTTAATTGGAAAAAATGCTATCTTTATGTTTACTGATTTTCAATTAAGCTCACATTATTACTATTGATGATTATAGTGTGCGAGGGTTCAATATTATTCAGATATCCGTTATAACCCTGACAGCCCTGTCAATGTGCGGTCTCAAAATGGGAGAGAAGGATCCACTTTCAGAGGGTAATAGAGGTACCAACCGCAATGCAGCACTTTCTAAAGAGCAGTGCGAAGCACACAGGGAGGAAAGCCTCAAGAGGCTCTGCAGCGATACCCCCCAAACCACGCTGGCCTTCCAAACAGTTTCGGATTGGTTATGTACGCTGCCAAGAAACCACAAAGGAGGAAGGGAAAAACTGCTTAAACTACCTGTGCCTCAAGCCCTCTTTGACACAGGTGAACACGCATGCATGCATGCAGAATACATTGAAAAGGGGTATACGCATCATGCAATGCAGTATATATCCAGTGCAGAAAAATGCTGAGCACATTTGTATGATTCGGATCAAGTGAGTCACCTGTGCATTAAAGTAAGCAGGGTAAGTAATTTCTCTTTTAACTTTTATTACTTAAATACACCATACTGGAGCAAATGTCTCTGAAAATATCACAAATAGATTTATCTTTTTCATTCAGCAATTATAGGTTGGTGAAAATCTACATGAGCTGCTATGAGCCTCAGATGTGGGGTTTGCTGTGGAGGGTGGGACTGGCGAATGGGCACGCTGGGACACAGAACACTTACATGCATACATACATGGTATTTTACAGGTACACCAAAAGTGTTTTTGATAAGATCTCCACAAAAGCCACGGACCTTTTATTCCATAGTCTTTTTGTTTTTTTTCCAAAAAACTGAAACACATTCCCTTTACAACACTTAAAATCTAGAAAGAGCAAACAGAAGGTTGTAAAGAAGGGGTGTTGAAAAAAAGAAAGGGAGAAACTGCGGTCAGTGCCCCCTCTAATTGGTATCGGAGGTGTGATGCAGATTTGAAAAGCTGTGCTTAATTAGCTTCATTTGTCATTTTTTCCCCAGAATGTCCTCAGGTTGGGCTTTCTTTCTCTCTCTCTCTCTCTCATTTTCTGTACAGTCTCCCATTAGTCCAGGTTCATGGAGTCCTTAATGTCCCTTCCTCAGTCATGTGAGCGCAGGGCTGCGCCCCACAGGGGCAGCGGAGAGTGAGCGGGAGTACAATGGCGAGGGCAGCTGGGGTGGGAGTCGGACCCCCTGGCGAGGATGGGCGAGGGCTGGAATGAAGGCACGCGTCCTGCTTCCGGGCACAGCTTCCCTTCCCTTTAGCAGACCTTCCGGAGAGAGGAGAGAGGGGGGAATGTGGTCACATGGAGATCGCAGGCATCGCCACAGCCAGTACCGTTCTGCGCAGTCGTTCCAAAACTACACCCTCTCTCTGCCCAGCACACAGTCTAGAGACCACCTTCACCCCCGAACCGCCTACAATCTTTAATTCGGGTGGAAATAAGATGCAAGACGCAGAGCAACAGCAGAACTGAATGCAGTTTCATTTGAAGCGCGTTGGGAGGGTGGCCGTGTGCTCGGACAAATCACAAAAAAGCAGCCTTCTCAAGGCAAACAGTCCTGTTCTCGTTTGCATGAACAGGCCTTCAGAGCTATTAACGTTTATCTCTGCACACCTTTCTGGTAACATAATTCAAGCCACGTCATCATTTGAGAGTTGCACTTCAGCTGGACCTAATTTATTGATCAAGTCGGCCAAGGAATTTGGTTTCCATTTTCTTAGCTTTGCTTTTAACAAACACTTATGTCTCTTTTTTGTCTGTAATTTTAGTAATACTGTAACACAGCTCACCTGGGGTGTTTAGATTACAATGGAACGAAGACATTAAAGCACAGAGACAATAACAACGCTCTTTCAAAGCTTTTTGGCCACATTCAAAACTTTTTCATTGTTTTCGCTTCGATTGTAAAGGAGTTCTCTTTTCACCCTTTCCTCAATTTACTAAAAGGCTGAAGTCTATTAGTAATTGCAAACCCCCACTTTCAGGCTAATTAAAGTGACTGAGGCCGTGAGGTTTAATTCCCAAGAGCAGGAGCTCAGTGTGAGAAAGGTAATTTGTCTGTCCTGAACAAAGAGATTAGGGAGCAGCCAGAGAGCCTACTTAATAAATGAGCATCAAACGTCCTCCGCTGTGGACACAGACAACACCAATTATGTCACCATGAAATTGTACATAATATAAACAATAGCAGAGTAAGATACTTCATATCCATATTAGTAGGACTGTTCCATTTCCAAGTGCATCCGATTTTATGTCTTTTATTGGGTTACAAGAGTGACTGAAACTGGCCTAGTAAGGGAACTAGCTACTGTAGTTAATTATTTCTGTCTTGTCAAACCGATGAGGAAGACCATCTTTCAATAACCATTATTTAATGGATTCTACTGCACAGGCATGATTTCTGATGCTATGTTTCAGCTTAAAGAGAAAAAGAATCTATATTCCCTAAACATTCTCAGTACAATAATTGTAATCATTACACTTTGTTTTGCACAGTACCATTACATAAACACTTTTTTTGGTTATGGTTTAACAGGGAGCAGGAGGCAGTGACTTATACTGCAGAATTCTCGCCTTGCAATAATTAAAGCATCACACTCGATATTCTGATTGCATTTTAACATAAATAATTCATCTGTTTTCACTACAATAGATGTTAGCACATAAATAAACAATGAGATTTCATATTTACCACACCGACTGTAATACGAAAGCAACAGACATTTAATATTAAGCAGGGTAATGCAGAAGCTTTCAATTTGAATGTTAGATGCTCTTTGCATTGACTTGTAGGATGACTTTCCTGCTAATGGGGGGACAGCGCTACGGAATTCGGTCCCTCGGGCCTTACAGTCAGCGAGCACCAGAGAACACTGAGCTCGGGATCCATTCAGGCTGCACCTAGCTGGAAGGGTGATCTTCAGCCTGCTAACATTTTCAACATTCTTTCTTGACAGGGAAAGTGTATAATTACACAAAGAGGCGCAGTCGACTGTTTAGTGCACCGACAAACTTTTGTTGAGAACTTTATCCATCCACTGTGGGTGAAAAGCCACATAAACATAAACAGAAATTCTGGAGCAGAAAAGAAGCCGTTCTCTTCATCACTGCTGCTGATCCACACATTTTAAAACGGAGTTCAATGGTCAAAGTGCAATTCAAAGCTAAAAGCTATTGTGTGCAGTCCCTCAAACAGATTATTAATAAAGTTCCCTGTTGTAAACCCATAAAGAATTACCAAGTGATGTGCGCACGTTTTGTTTCGGAGCAATAACTCAGCAGTGAGATTGCCTCCGTTAATGATGAAAAAGTCAAACAGGCAATCAGCAGTGATGGGAAAATCTATCACCAATCTGAAATTAAAATTCATCTTTGGTCAATAAGATTTAATATCCGTGCGAGTTGTGCTGTAAAGAGTAAATGAATCAATGTCATCAATACATAATCAGTGTGAAATATGATGTGAATACAATTATGCAGGGGACTCCGTGCATTTCTTAAACTGGTCCAGACTTGCATTTGCAGTATTCTCATTTTAGGGTTGACAGTAATTGTTACAAATTAGTTTGCACTAATACCAAATTGCGCTCATCTTTACGCCTCAAAATTAAGTATGTTGTAACTTTTCAACGACGAGTTTAAAGGTTGAGGACAGACATACCACCCTGCCAAGGAATTGGGATTTGAAAAGCCGAGTTAATTCCATGTGTGTTTCACTCACAAGAACTCTCTCCCAGCATGTTAAACCCTCATCCCCCTCCCAGCACACAGAGAGAGCCCCTCTAAGGCAAAAGCAAAAATGGGAGTAACTTTCAGTGTCAGTGTCAGTTCTCCTCCTCCCCCACCAAAAAAAATGGCATTAAACAGTAGTGTCATTTAATTAAACAAGAAGCCATTCTGGGCCTCTAGAGCTGCGAAATACACTCGGAAGAGCAATTTAAAACCATCCACAGGCCCTTTAAAGTGAAAGTAACAGGGCCTGATGGAACACGGTGTCACAGTCTCGTGTGCAGCACTGGACACTGTTTTTTCAAAATGATCAATGTTTTCCTTAACTATTCTGGAGCAAGAGAAAAGGACCTCAGAGAAACCCATGTGAAGACACAGCCTGAACCGAGAGGAGGATTTCCACCCAGCAATGACCCAGCGGATTTGTGCCAACGAGGTCCTGGGGACATGCTGTGCTGTTCGCTCGTGACGGAGGAGGAACAGGGAGGTCCTTACCTTCTGGTCTGGCAGTAACGGGTTGGTCTGCAGGGAGTTCAAATGGCCGTTCATGAGAGCCGTGGGTCTGTCGTGTTCGCAGAACAAGTTGCCGTTGATGTAGTGAAAGCGGTCTCCAGGCACCAGGCGATTCCGGCAGGTGGAGCACGTGAAGCACTGCAAGGAGGACAGGAGCACTGCTCGTGAC